CGACTGACTTTTAACGAAATATATTAACAGAAGCTTCTGTTCTTCATCTCAATTATTAACTTTTTTCTTGTACCTTACACTTTCATTTCTTTGTTACGAGTGTTATGCATCAGTTGTCGACGCAGTTCTAGTGTCAACGCAGCGTGCACACACACGTACATATGTAGAATAAGTCGAGGAGTGACGACCCACTCCGTATTTATCTTTCCGCAGACTCTAGGAAATTGAAAGATTACACTGGTAATTCAGAGATGTAGTTTCGAGTGGTACCGCGCAGATCGAATAAAAAACCCCAGACAAGTCGGGGGATTGATTCGGCCCTTGCTCGAGGCTGCTCGAGAGATATAGAAAATTCTTCTCAGGTAACTGTATAATTCTTTTCTCGTATTAAGCGAGCCATTGAAGAATGAAGTAGGAAGCAACAAAGGCAACAGGGACGATAAGCTCCGGCCACCCTGTCGAATGAATCAAGCCAGAAGTAAAAGAGAAATAAATCCGATATCGAAGGGTCAGGGTAATAGGATATCGCGGTAAAAGGCCTGGAAGAAGATTTAATTTGCGGCTCGCCACTCAGTGGCCAGGCTAGCGGCAGAGCCCGATTCACTATTTTTCACTTTCGCTTATCGCTCTTTTTGTCCGAACGGTCCGCAACGTTCCGCAGAAATTGGAAATTGGGCGAATTTAATAATAACCGTGCCAATGAACCGCGCCAGTTCGCACGTACGTGACAGATATATCGTTTTGCGGTATAGAAAATACATTCAGAACGAAATTTGCTGTCGCCTCTTTTTTTTCTATTTATTTATTTAATCTTTTGCACAAAATCGGACTGCAGATTTTTCTGCAGCTATAAAGAATTCAGAATTTGTTTTCGTGCAAATATAATATTTTATGAAAATATAGCATAAATTTCAGTTTAACCTCGACCAAACCTAACTTAAATGTATTAAAATATACAAAGTGGAGTTACAATATTTATTTCTTTAATTGAGGTTTATAAGAGCATGAAAATGCATAAATTGTTGTTTACAATCTGAAAGAATGTTTCGCCGCAAACCGAGTAATAACAAAGTAATGAATTTCTCGTGCTGTTTGCGGCATACAAAGTATATTCAGAACGAAATTCGCTATCTCCTTTTCCTTTCTCCTTTTCCAGCCTAATCCAAATGTATTAAAATACACAAAGTGGTGTACTTGTTACAATTTTTTCGTGTTTACGGTATAGAAAATACATTCAGAACGAAATCCACTATTTATTCATTTATGTAACTTTTTATACAATTTGGACTGCAGACTTTTATGCATTTGAAAACATAATCTAACCAAAACATATTAAAATATACAAAATGGAGTGCTAAAGCTAAATCTAACTTAAATCTAAACTTAAGCTAAACGTATTAAAATATACAAGATGGAGTTCTAAAGTTAAATCCAACTTAAATCTAAACTTAACCTAAACGTATTAAAATATGCAAGATGGAGTGCTAAAGCTAAATCTAAACCTAACCTAAATGTATTAAAATATACAAGATGGATGGCCAAAGCTATATCCAACTTAAATTTAAACCTAACCTAAACGTATTAAAACATAATACAAGATGGAGTGCTAAAGTTAAATCCAACTTAAATCTAAACTTAACCTAAACGTATTAAAATATGCAAGACGGATGGCCAAAGCTAAATCTAACTTAAATTTAAACCTAACCTAAACGTATTAAAATATAATACAAGATGGAGTGCTAAAGTTAAATCCAACTTAAATCTAAACTTAACCTAAACGTATTAAAATATGCAAGATGGAGTGCTAAAGTTAAATCCAACTTAAATCTAAACTTAACCTAAACGTATTAAAATATGCAAGATGGAGTACTTGCTGCAATGTTTATTTCTTTAATCGCGTAAGAGTACATAAATGCACAAACAAACTGTTGTTTACGACGTGAAAGAACATTTCCGCCGCGAACGTTCTTTCAGTAATATCAAGGTAATGAATTTCTCGCGCTGCTTCACCCTCATACTTTCCCCCGAGGGGAATTGGATTCTTGCGAGTTAAAGCACGACTGTCGCGGAAGTGGAAATTTACTTTTGTACACCGGGTCGGTACACAGGGCACCGGCGAATGCATAGCAATCGCCGAAAGAAAAGAAAAGAAAAGAAAAGAAAAGAAAAGAAAAGAAAAAAAAGAGAATCTACCGCTAATTATTTTCAATTCTTTCGGGCAAGATTTCGAGGAGGACGCGTCGCGTTTTCTTCTCTCGAGTGCGCTTCAAAAACAACGTTTGCCAGTGTCGTTCCGAGTGTCTGGACGTAAATGAAAAATGCACGAGCACGAGTAATTCACGACGGATGGGCGCCACGACGTGTTTCGGAGGTCTTTCGTTAATTATCCTCGCGAGAGGTGCTCGCTAGGTTTGAAACGTTAACTTTTTTTTTCTTCGTCAAAGGGAAGCAACGAACGTTTCGCTTTGCGCGAGTCTCGCAGGGACAAAGGGTATCGCTGGACATCGAAACAATCGTCGGATCGTCTAATTGAATCGTAGACAGCGGGAAAGCTTGACGCGGGGAAACTTAATTGGAGTGACGCCGAGACCGAAGGCGGAATTGGAGGACGTAATTATCGAACGAACGGAGCAAGATCCAAGCAACAGAGAAAGAGAGAGAGAGGGCAGAAATTTTTCCGAGTCACGATCAAGGAACGTGTCGTCTCTCCAACGACGTTCCCTTTTGTTCATCTCATGGCGCTGGAGGACAAGAGGAATTTATCCAACGTAACTGCGTGTGATGTTTCTTCGTGACGTTTATAGAGAAGATTTGTCTCGGTCAGAGAATCGCGGAGCAACATCGTCGTGGAAACATCGGAAAAAGTATCGGAACCGATTTTCCACCGACGCCGGTGGAAAATATCAGAAGTGGCAAGAAACTTCCCGTCTTCTGCTCTTGGAGGAACTTTTACAGCTTCTCCGAGGAATACTATCGTCGTCTGCTTTATCGCGCACGATGCTGGCCGTGATATATTTTCCCCGCCTCTCTACGTGGCAAGCAGAGCTTTAAAAAGTTTACGAAGTATAATAATACCCGGGGTCTATTTCCCGCCCCCGAAACGAGAGAAAAGAAAAAGGAAACCGGGTGCCATTTCCCCGGGAAGGTTGGCAAAGAATTACAGGGACAAACCGCGTCTCGATATTACGAATCTTCAATTTCGAACACGAGGAGAGGGAAGATGGGACGTTTTAATTAAAGACGGCAGAGTTATGTTGCGTGCCGATAGGGTGGATCGTCACCTAGGTAACTGAGTATACCGCGTGACAGTGATCTATCTGTGTAAGGGATCCCTATAATCCTTATAAAGCCGCGTAACACGTCGCTCGTACTAAATAATTATGCGTCGCGACTTTGACGCGAAAGAGATTCGCACGACACTCTCGTACGATATTCTCCGATCAGAGAGTAAAAGTACAGTAGTAGTCCTCTACAACGCGAGATATCCGACGAATCCAAAAGCGCAAGAAACTATAACCAAAATAAATATTTTCCTATTTTTCTGTCTTATTAAATAAGCATCATAGTCCATACAATTGTACAATTTTCTATTTCTGTTAATAAAAGATCTTCTGCACGGGAGGGTCTCTTCGAACCTTCATTTTTCCGAATTGTGCAAATTACTATCGATTCGTTTCTGTTAAATCTCACGCAAAGAGAAATGTTAATTGAAATCGCCAGATTTCTACTCTGGTTTATCTTTGGCAGTCACCGCTGGAAAAATATTCTGTTTCTCGTTTCTAAAGATCGCTTTGCCTTACAATCGATCAACGTCTACCTTTGTAATTGAAATGAACTCCTTTTTGAAATGACACAACTAATTCTGCAGAAACACGGAAATAACTATCCCACAATACACGTTTCAAGCAACCGCTCCATATCGCGCGAGAGTTGTTATCGAATCAATTGAAAGACGCGCGTGTTCTCACGTCAGAAACGAAAGAACTCTTTCTCAGAAATTTTTTAATCACGTTATGTGGGACTAAACAGCGGCGCAATGTTTAGTCCTTCATAGGACAATACAATCAATAACGAAACCATCTTTGGAAACGTCTGGAACGTCGATCAAATATTTGCTACTCCTTCCATTTATCAGCGAATCTACTTCTTCATAATTGGCACATGCAGAGCGGCTGATATGATTTGCTTGTCAGACGGAATTGTTCAATCTCCTCGAATGATCGATAGAGAAGGCGCGCTAACTGATAGGAGATGCATCAAACGAATTGTATGGGCATCCATTATTGGCACACGTGCTATTCCTGACGGCGAGGCGGTCAGAGAGCGAGACTGGTTCACGTGGTTGTGTGTACAGGACTAATGTTACACCAGTCATCCCATCTGCTGTCCTATTTATCTACCTGCCCGTGTGTGTGTGTGTGTGTACTCTGTTCGCGTAGGAAGGCATTTTTCTTGTCTATTAGTTTATCCTGTCATTCGATGCATTATCGTTCGTATCCATCCTCCTCTTTGCAGAAGATGGATACCTTAACAAGGTCGAGAAACAATTTCGAAACGCGCGCCAGCGTAACGTGGATTACTTTCAGCAACAGAAGATAAAACTGTTATTAAAATGTGAAACGTTATTGCAGGCGACTTGCGACGTGAAAGGAAATTTTCAATCGACGAATCTCTACGGACGATTTACATAATTTACAAGTAAATTGAGTTTTTTATCGTTGGTAATCAGGTTTCTACAACACAAAGAAAAAAAAAAAAAAGAAAAATGCTGGAACGAATTTGTCGCTTGTAAACTAGTAATTTGAACATTTGATTGTAATTTTAAATGAACGCGCAACGTTCCGAGGGAAAAAAAGAAAAATGATAATTCGATTTGGCCTGAGGCGCGAATTAATGATCGTTCGCCAACACACACACACACACACACACACACACACACAGAGAGAGAGAGTGAGAGAGAGGTGATACGAACGAACATTGCGAGACGAGTTTGTATAATATACGTTCGACGTTAATTTACAGAACTATGCGAGGAATGGGCTCTAGCGAATAGCCGCGAATGCGTGGAGGGCGGTGGTTCTGCTGGTACGACGCACGATGAATCTGAGGATGCATCGGAAACCAGGTTCACCCTCAAATATTTAGGTAGTACCCTTGTTGAAACACCCTCGAGCGAAGAGGCAACGGCTGAGGCTATTAAAACCGTCATTACGATGGTAGGTACTCTTTCATCTATCCTCCTTTCAAGATCGATTTTTTTCAAGGACATCTCCCCATATCACTTTTTATTCTTTTATTTTTTTATTTTTTTCAAGTTGACTCGTTTTTCCTCCTCCACGGTTAAGTTAAAAAGTGTTTTCTTTTTTTTCTTTTTTTTTTTCTCAAGAAAAATTGCCACTCGCGAGCGATTTCGAGCATGATTGAAACGTTTTCGAAAGGGAAGGGTGGCGAATTACGCATAAATCTGGCCGGTGTGCGACCTTGGTCTCGCCTAGCTCATTAATTCCCCCCGACGAGATAAATTGCTACGCTTGATAAGATCGATAAAAACGTTCCCCAAACTTTGCCAGATGGGGAGCCTGGATCGTTCAAACATCTACAAAGATCAACAACAGATCTTCTCGCCGAACTTTTTTAATTTCAACCCGGCGACAGTTTCAACTTCATTCAGCGACCGGATGGTGTTCCCTCTGCGTCATTTCGACGAAAGTGATTGATCGCGGCAAAGGGACTTTGACTTTCGATTGCGCGCGGGGCAATACATCTAACGAAATTTAAATGAATTCGTTTTTAACGCGAAAGTTGATAGTTACGTTAACGACGAGTCTCGGTCGATTCCCCCCTTTCGAATAAATCTCCGTCCGCTTTCAACCGCCCATCGCGTAAATTAGATTTCCCCCCCCCCCCCCCCCGTTTTATTAAGCGTGAAAGTAATTATAACTCTGTCCTCTGTTTTATCGCGCCACCACGGGAGAGATAATTATCCGCAGTGATATAGAGAATAGTTGCCTGGAAATTTTTGCAAGACGAAGACTGCAGCGTCTATATGACGATCTTTTGAGTAATCCTCCGGACGACTTTTCCACCGGCGTTTACTCTGACCGAGTTTCGCGATTACGTTACAGCGATATTTCACGTCGCTCTCGAGCGAGTTTGCCGTTGCTTCGGGAAGATGTTTCGTCTCTCGAAACGGAATTAACCCTCTTTCTTCCTCGGCACTTTGAACCGTATTCCCACGGTAATCTGATAAAGCCTGTTCATTAAACAAATATATTTCTTCTGTGACGAGAGTCGCAGCGCTCCGAGTTTCCCGGATGGGAATAAAATTCGTCTCAAGGAAGTATGTCGTCGGATGGAGGGAACGGAATGATGTCCACTGTTTGTTTGCTTCGCGTTTTGCGCGAAATTTAAGCTCGTTAGAAAACTGTCGTTGTCAGAGAAGAAACGACGTTGCGTTTTATTGATTCCACGATAAACTGATGAGGCGGTGAAATGAACTTTGCGACGAGTAAGAAGATATCTTACCCTTGGAAACAGTTTCCATAACGCCAGTGAGCTGGAAAGTTCGAGCTACTTAAGCGCAAGAATGTACAGCCACAGTCGTGAAAGTGCGTATGCATTAGGGATACCGGGAAGTAGTGTCGTTTTATTCACCGAAATGAAAATTTCTGATTTTCGTTGCTATTACGTACTATTATTGCATGCATATTTGCACCATGTGCTATTATATACTGTTGTGTGTTATTATTGTTTTCGCCATTTCTCGCGATCCTTTTTCATCTACCGACTAGACTTTCAAGGCCCCTTTTAAAAAAGATTCTCCCGATTTATTGGCAGAACATTCTGCAAATACCGATTTTACATCACTAACCATTGTTTCTAGGGGATTTTTCTCTTAAAAAAGTGTTTCATGGGTCGAAAAAGGTGATAGTGTGACGGAGCCAAATCGAGAGAGTATAGTGGACTGCCACAAGTTGGTTTGAACCTTTCTCAGTGTGACTGAGCAAAGAATTACACAGTGACAAAACACAGTTCCTCGTGCTTTGTGCTCTTCACGCGAGTCACGCGGCACCCATACTCCTTGCCCATACACGTTTCCTTTTTCATGAAAACGTTTCTGCATAGTGGACTAGGAAACCCCAAACGTGTTCACCAAGTTCTGAACAGTTTGACGAAAGTCCGACTCGATCAATACTCGTCGTTATCAATGACCGTTGGGCTTCTCTGAATAAGGGATGTTTGAAAATAGGGATGGCTAAGATCGCCAGACCGAAATCTCAAGAATCAACCGTTGACACCTGCGGACATTTAAAGAATTTCAACACACGCTGCAAATTGTATCGGTTGGCCTCGGTAGCATTACCAGCCCCGTCGAAACTCGAAAAGCGCAAGCCGTCCAACATGTTCTTCCATAAATTTTCTCTCCTAGCTAGCCACGTTCACTTGACAAAGTTTGAATGAAAGCTGAACGACAGATTGCACGTGCCTCGAGATTCTCTTTTCGAAAGATATTTGAAAGCAGTATCCCAAGAGTGTACCTACAAATATTTCGAAAAGGGGTTGGGAAAAGTTGGAGCAGGAAAAAACGAAATTACTTTCTGGTACATCTGATACATTCCTTGTTCAACCCCTTGGTTACGACAGACTGATACGCTGCACGTATACGGCTCAATCGCGACCTACACTGATAAAAATTTTTCGTCCAAATAACGAAGTTTGCTGCAATAACATTTACACGAGATAATGTAAATAGTAACGCATGAAATAACTGTGAAATAATCACGTTTAAATAATATATATGACTAACATTTAACATTTAACATAAATAACATTTACCGAGCGCCTATAGATACCTTAATTCGATTCGATCAACGTGAGGAGAGGCTAAGTAACCAAAAGGTTAAGATTTGGAACAAAAACACCTGTAAATAATTTCACGAGCGAGACGGAATAATAATTTCTAATATCTTCGTTTGTATCGAGCGATATTCTTCTAATGTCGTAGGCAAAAGCGAGCGGCAAGAAGCTGCAGCGAGTCTCTTTAGCCGTGAGTTTGAAGGGTATCAGAATGACGGACCTCGCCACGGAAGAAGATCAGCTTCAAGTGTCTATATATAGGTGGGTATGAAAACGAGACAGAGCGCCGAGCCAACGTATCCGAGGCATTTCCTGCTTCGCGAAATGCGTATACACATGTCAATCACGATTGGAGAGCTGTAATCGAACGAAACCGGATTTGTTGGTTCTGGCCTGTTGTACGTTTCCCTTTGCGTCAGCCAACATAATATCCGTTATTCAGGCTAAAATGTATTCGAAATATCGTCGCAGCGGCGACGGGCAAACGCTACGTGATTCGATTCTGGAATATCATTCTCTCCGATAGTCCGGAACTACGATTTACCCGATGCACGCCTACTCCTACATACCTGATTTCATATTGAAATGAAAAAACCGTGTCCCGTCTTTTTTTCCTTTTTTCTTTTGCTCCTCCTTTTCTTTTTTCCGTGCAGTTTTCCGTAAACACGCAGCCGAAAAAAAAAGATTCACCCCACGGGGGAGCAATCGTGTGTTCGAAAACAGTCGCGATCAATAACGCCAGTTTTTTCTGCTTTCAGTTGTTTCGAGTTTTATTTTAATAAAACGAACGTTTCGTTTCTCCTGCACAAAGGAGTCAAGCTGGAAACTGTGATTGGCGGATGAAAACATTGAGATCGAACGTAACGTCGGCGCCGCTTCGATCGCGTGTACGCAACGCGTTCAAAGAGCACTCGGCTCGTGTAATAAAATAAGAAACGCGGTTGCAACATTTAACCACTTGCGCTGGCAACTGATTGCGGACCATAACGAGTGACCGGGCCGTACATAATAATAACGTCGGTTTCTTTTTCAACTCGTCGGTGTGATATCACTGGATAGAAATTATTGAGAAGTAATAAATTTATTGTCTATTTGTTTTACCTGGGTATACTTAATATAATGTAATATATAATTATAGTATAATAATGTACTATAATATAATATAATATAAAATAGTATATAATATATAATATATAATATTTAATTATAATATAATACTATAATACTATAACATTATAAAATTATAATATAATAATATACTATACTATACTATACTATAATATAATATATACTATATAATTATAATATAATACTATACTATAATATTATAAAATTATAATATAATATAATATATAATATAATACTATACTATAGTATAATAAAATATATAATATAAAATTATAATTTAATAATATACTGTAATATAATATAATATATAATATAAAATTATAATATAACACCATAATATAATATAATAAAATATATAATATAAAATTATAATTTAATAATATACTATAATATAATATAATATATAATATAAAATTATAATATAATACTATACTATAATATAATAAAATATATAATATAAAATTATAATTTAATAATATACTATAATATAATATAATATATAATATATAAATATATTTAAAACTGAGAAAATATTGCAATTTTGGGACAAAAAAATTCTCGACGTGCGTGACACGTCACTCCAGCGCAAGAGATTAAACGACGGCTGTGTGTACTTTCTTAATCACCTGGGATTCTCCTAGGTTTCACTCTGTTTCGCGCATCGAGGCTGTTAATGCCACATTAATTAACCAATGGCTCTCATAAACATAGGCTACGTAGTTGAAACACGACTAAACGATAAAATTTAATATCACAGAGTACCGTGAGATTCGACTCGCGCGCGCGCGAGAGAAACTTTACGTTTTTAATATTGGATTTACGTATTTTCACTTTGCGAGAGACGCGCGTACTGTTCGGTATGAGAAATTGCAGTTTCTTTTTGCTTTTTTCTTTGTTCTTTAATTTCGCGTGCAATTCGGGGAAAAACCCTCCGACGCGTTTCAAAGAAACTTCCCTTTATATTTCCGTATTGTAGTTCCTTTGTTCCTTCGTCGCTTTGCCTCGGCTGGCGAAAATAATTACGTGTTCTTGTGCGATTTCACGTGCTTTTACGATTCGCGTTCCTCGTTTCGAGATGTTCGCGCGATAAAAAGTAACTGTAACTACAACGGTTAGCATAACCGTATACCGGGGCGTTATCCTTTTTCTGGCACTCGTATGAATTTTGATCGCGGAACACAGAAACTCGTTGCCCCAACACAGATTTCCTTCGGGTATGTATATATGTACGTGCTGATTCTTTTCAGAATTTCATATTGCTCGGCGGACGCAGCTCACGATCACGTGTTCGCATTTATCGCGACGAATTTGAACGAGACGATGGAGTGCCACGCGTTCCTCTGCCCGAAGAGAAAAATGGCGCAAACGGTGACGTTAACGGTGGCGCAGGCCTTTAACACAGCTTACGAAGCTTGGCAGCTGTCCCAGGCCGATCCTAGGATTCATCACGCCCAAGATAAAAGTCCTTCGTTAACCGACGACACAAATGGTACGGTAAATTGTTCTTCATCGTAATGTTTTAACAACACGATGTGTTCTCACTGTTTTGAAAATCAAAAACGATCCTCATCATCTTAGACTGCACTTTGGAATTTTTTTTTTATACATTTTTGCATTCACGCGTATCTCTGCAGTTTTTAGTTTGCAAAATTTTCCATAAGTAGGTGTATTAATATTCTATAAAATCCACAAGTCTACACATTGTCAATGACATTGTACAGTTTTTCCTTTCAGAGCAAAAATGGCTCTTATTATCTGAGATTGCAGATTTTCATGCAGTACTTTGGATTCTTTTTTTTTAAATACATTTTTGCTTTCACGTGTATCTCTGCAATTTTTAGTTTTCAAAATTTTCCATAAATAGGTGTACTAATTTTTTATAAAATCCACAGGTCTACACATTGTCAATGACATTGTACAGTTTTTCCTTTCAAGCAAAAATGGCTCTTATTATCTGAGACTGCAGATTTTCATGCAGTACTTTGGGTTCTTTTTTTTTTCTATACATTTTTGCATTCACGCGTATCTCTGTAGTTTTTAGTTTTCAAAATTTTCCATAAGTAGGTGTATTAATTTTCTATAAAATCCACAGGTCTACACAATGACATTGTACAGTTTTTCCTTTCAGAGCAAAAATGGCTCTTATTATCTGAGATTGCAGATTTTCATGCAGTACTTTGGGTTCTTTTTTTTTTCTATACATTTTTGCATTCACGCGTATCTCTGCAGTTTCTAGTTTGCAAAATTTTCCATAAATAGGTGTACTAATTTTCTATAAAATTCACAGGTCTACACATTGTCAATGACATTGTACAGTTTCTCCTTTCAAGTAGAAACGGCTCTTATTATCTGAGACTCCGGATTTTCACGCAGTACTCTGGATCTTTTTTTACACATTCTTGCATTCAGGTCATTTCTGCAATTTCCAATTTTCAAAATTTTTTGCAAACAAATCTATTAATTTCCCATGAAATTCACAGTCTACACATTATCAATGATATACATTTTTTTCTTTCAAGCAAAAAACTCTTATTATCTTAAACTGCAACACTTTGGATTTTTTTTTTTTTTATAGATTTTTGCATTTCTGCAATTTTAAAATACACAGGCCACACATTTTGTCAATGATATCGTACGTTCTTTTCTTTCGACACTGAAACGAGTTCGATGGCAACTCTTTTAAGCGAGAATGGCGAGTCGGACGACAAAATTTTGTTGAACGAGGAAAGAAAGGCAGGTTCAATTCCGAACCGTTTGATCTGTTGGTAAGAGTCGGTGAGCCGCGTCGGTGCGGGCAATATCTACGTGGTCGTGCACTTAACTCTCCGAGAGTGCGGATATTGCGGAGAGCTTCGTAGAAGGTTACGAGTGCACCCTAGGAAATTGTCCGGCAATATTGAGCCTCGTGTGCAGTGAAACTACAACACTGTGGAAAACTAGAACAATTACAACTCGCGTGTTTCCTTCGTTCGCGCAAACATTCGCCGGGCACCGGGTTCTCTTCAAAGAGAATTAGCCGCGATTATTCCTGGCCCGCAATTATTTGCGTATCGAGCTATGAAACTGTACAAGTCACATAATACGGCCGTTAATCGAGTTTCGTTCAAATTGGAGTTCGAAGAGCTGTCGTTTATAAATCGATGCTACAGGGAATATAAAAGTAGAAACGTCGCGAGTTTCTCCATGATTTTAAATTTGAAATTTTATGAATGTTTGAAGCATCGACGGAGGATTTACATTTACTGTCGAATAATTTAGCGCACGAATTGACAAGAATTAACCAGTCGAAACGATGAAGTTTTATAATTAAGCATCACTGTAATTTTTGGCGAGAGTGAATGTAACCATTGAAACCAATAGTCCTCGATTCGAGGTACTTTTTACGAATGCACGTTTACAGCGGACGCGTCCTGTAATTAACGTGGCGACTCACTGGTTCACTGTTCGTTTCGGGGCCGACGAAATGTCTCGAAACTAGCAATTAGCGATAAACGAGAAATCAGTGTTTGCACCCGATGGTCCTACTTACACGGTCACAAAGACTCTTGGACATCGGTGTACGTATGTACGTGTGGGTCGATAACGAAAGTGTATCTAGGAAACCGTGCTGTAGAGTTGCGAAGAGGGGCTCTATATTGTGATCTGTGATAAAGTGAGATTTCACGGGCGCATATTTATTGTACACACAGGCACAGACTGTGAAGCGACACGCGCTCAATGATTTTTAACACGAACGGAGGAAAGAGAGAAAATTTTATTATTTATTGCGCGCTCGTGTATATCTTTCTGCAAATTGAACCTTCTCTCTCCTTTCAGAAAGCAACGAGAAGAAGAAGAAGAACGAGGAGGAGACGAAATCCGTGACGAAAGCCAACGAGCAGAACAAGGACAATGGCGAGCTGCGTAACGCGAACGATACGCCGAAAAATCTTCTGATCGATCTGTCGAACGAGACTAAGACCGCTGGAAATTCCTGGGTAGGCATATTGTCATAACCAGAGACTGAAAACCGAAATATTTTGAGGTTTAGGTATTATACTGGTATTTGCTTCCATATTATCGTAATATAACTGCTATTTAGGAAATCGGTTTTAACCGGTATAAGACGGTCATGCCTGTATTTTCATACGTATTTTATCGGTATTTGATGTCCATAACGGTAAAAATACCGATTTATATACCGGTACGGTACCGCTTTACTGACGAAAACACATTTTTCTACGTACAGTGACTCTTATTAATATTCGGACGTCATGCTATTCAAAATATTGTCGTGGATTTCGATGTGTTTATAATAGTAAATTTGGATTAATTTTTTAATAATATAATAGAACATTCATTATAGTTTATGGTAAGATAAATTTTATTTATTTATTGCACATACTTTTCAAAGAATAAACTGAACTATGTCGAAATGTAGCGTGGCAAAAATATTCGGACATTTGAGGAACTACAATATTTGAACCTGAAAATTGTTAACAT